ACATGGTGCCTCAGTCATGGGGGTTGCACATCGCTACACTGGTCATTGTGGGCTGCTGAAGTTGAGTGAAGAGCTGGGGAGGAGCCCAGGAACAGTTCTGATATCACTTGCCTCTGATGTTCGCTGGGGATGGGATATCGAAATAAAAATATTGATATATCGACCACGCCATGTTTTTTATGAAACTTTCCGTGTACACTAAAAGATCAGAATTAAATATCGATTATTTTCTCATTAACTATTTACAAGAAATAGCAATGTACATATTCCAAAGAAATGTTTGTTGTCAAATAAAATATTTAATAACTCATATTGAAAAAGCCAAAAATCAAATAAGGGTGTTGTTGCAGGGTCAACACTTAACCAACAGCAGACGCAAATCTACTTCCCAGAATATAAATTTTAAACTTATCTAAAGTATTGAACATCTATTAAGCACATTTGGAGCGGGACAATATTTTTTTCATCAAAGAGCTAAAAATTAAGGTGGCGGAAAGATGGCAGGATATTTAATATATTTTGGCCTTTTTCAGTGTGAAATACACATCGAAATGAAAATATAAATGTTCAAATGTGATTGAAGGGATCGGCATCGACGTCAAAATATCGATGCAATGGAACCAAAACATCAATATTCTGTATATATCGATGTTTTTTGCCCATCCTTAATGTTAGCTGAGGGCAGGAATCAAACTCAGGTGGTCGGGTGCATAGCGCATTGCACTAACAATTTGCATCACCACCACTCCCCTGATACAACATGCAATATTGCTATTTACAACGTGTGTCCAATTCAAAAGCCACATGTATTAAAAATATTGGCCACAGCACAACCGTGGGCGTGCTCAGTAATGGGGGTGGTGACATGCTTCACATTACAAGTTAAAGCTCCTGTGACTTAATTCGCAAAGTAGACCATTGTGTGCCAGTCATGGTCCAAATTTGCCAAACTTAAAAAATTGCACTGCAAATTACTCATTTGGGATTATACATAGCAATCATTGATATTTTGACGGTAGCCTCCTGAAAATGAGTCATGAGACTCAATGAGGATTTCGTGGGTAAAAACATAATGCATGTTTTTAATTGAAAGAAATTGGGTAATTGAGCCCAGGAATTATTTTCATAGTTACACTTTTTACTTCCTATACTTCTCTACCTCAGAAATACTTGACAGTCAACTGCCTTCTATTTAAACTAGCGTTTGGCCGTCCTAGGACAGACGCTGTAATATTAAAGATGTACATTTATGTGTTCTTGTGTGATTGTAAACATTTTTTAGGAATTGTTGCACGTAAATACATTTTTCTTAACTAAAAAAATTTAACTAAGGACTTTGGAAGATTTCTCGGGAAACGATATTTCGTGTGAATCTCACTGTTCAAAATGTTTCCCTGCAGTTGACTATCCTTGATGAACACTTTGATCCGCTGAGGATGTTTAGATCTAGACAGAGCCACGTACAACTGTCCATGGGAAAATACGGGTTCATTGAGATAAATACCCACATTTTCAAAAGTCTGACCCTGGCACTTGTTGATCGTCATCACATACGCAGGAATTATCGGAATTTGTCGTCGTTTCAGTACGAAAGGAAGAGTGACATCACTTGGAGCTAGGTAGATTTTCGGGATGAAGATGATTTCGCCTCGGTTGCATACCAATACAATCTCTGTGGTGATGAAGTTATTTTGTAATGATTTGACCATCAAACGCGTTCCATTGCAAAGACCGTTCGTCGGGTTCAGATTTCGCAGCAGCATGATTATAACACCTGTCTTCAGTGCCAATGTGTGTGGCGGCATTCCTGAAGGCGTTTGATCGTGAAGAAATTCTGGAGGGTAATGCAATGCGTCCGCAGGATCTTCCGACACGATCGAGTCATAGCTGTAGTTATTTGAGCACGGACTCTTGTGTATCTTGTGCAATTTTAAAAGGCAAACAGTATCTGTCTCAAAATAATTTGAATAAACACTACACGTAACTTTAGCACTGCTTTGAACTCACTTGAAGCTTTGAACTGACAAATGTTTCTTCACCAATGGACGATTGATAGCGAAGAGTGAAGAAAGTAGGCTGCTGATACTGTCAGAAGTAAGTTTTAAATAAATGAAAAAGACCAAACATAACCATTAAAGTTACGAAAAAATTGACCAGAGTATTATTGTATCTTGTGTAAATTTAATGGCAGTGAATATTGCACAAAACTGTCATAAAACACGTCACTTAATGTCACTGTAACACTGTATTTAAAACACCTTCAATTAGTTCAAAATCACTGCTCTGATACTTTATTTTCTTCTGCTTTCACTCGCTGGCGTTGAAATCAATTTGAATTCGATACAATATCTGGAAAATCACGGAGAAATGTGTATATTTTATCATAATTTAGAAGCAAAAATTAGACTTACCTTTTGTTTTAAGTGCTGAAAAAATAAATAAAGACACCAAAAGCACTTTGTTGCTGCGAATAATTATTTATTTGCTAAAAATTTCAATAAAGAAACGTACAATTTTAAGCGAATTTGCGTAATTTTTTTTTTTTCCGCTCGACCTAGGGGAGTGGAAAAATCCACCCGTTCATGATTATCAATGAGGGGGAGGGGGCTCTTTTGCAGTGACGTCATCTACGGATGTAGCTCTGCTGCGTAGATTTATTTTTGACCGTCACTTTCTGTAAAGAAACGTCATATTTGAAGCGACTTTGCGAAAAAAAAAGATCTTTCCGCTAGACCTTCCGCGTGAGTGTAAAAATCCACTCGCTCATGATTATTTTATTATTAATGACGGGGGGGAGCGGCATGTGGAGTGACGTCACGCGCGTTACACACATTTCTGGTCTATTATCTATTTAAATGGTGATTGGGCCCAGGAATGCACAGCCATAATGCAATATTTTATAACATTTTATCATGTTACTTTGAATATAAATTAGTTCAAAAGTAAAACTATTCAAATGTTCATAAAAAAATTGGTTTTCAGAAATTATTTGTTATATTTAATTCTCATCAGGCCCCATGGTATTATTGAGTGCAGTCTGCAACCATGATTAACTCTTATCACTCTGGTCTCTTTGTTTATGTGCTATGAAGAAGGGCCATTGCCCGAGACATCACCTATTTTTCTTTTCAGACAGTGTTGTTGAGTAGTTGAGGTTTTAAAAGTATATACATTAATTGTGTTTTTGCACAACTGCCAATGTAGCTGCATTATCAAATCATTTGCATAAAGGCAGCGGTGGTGAACGCCTTCAATCTAGCACTGTGGAGGCAAGGGTTGATGGATCGGAAAAAAATATCAAATGTCGTAAAACTCCCTTCCCGTGGGCATCGAGGTAGAATACACTGGCTTGTCAGCATAATGCAGTACGGCAAAGTGTGGACTAATTTTATATATCCCTTCCCTATGGAATAGAGTGTTGCCCCCTTGCATGTGTGGGTATTCTCCGGGTGCTCCAGTTTCCTCCCACATGTATAAACAAAATTGGCTGAAAATTTATTGATATATAGAGAAATGCAGAGCAATTGTTCGCACCGGTTTACCTCCTGGCAGCCTCTCAGCTTCCCTCTGTGGTACCACGGCAATTGTGAGATGCTACTTGTATGAACGACAACGCTTTACGTGATTTGTATTTTATGAGCAGTCACCGCATGCGCAGAAAATGTAAAGTGTGTTGTTCGGGAAAAATGGAAGGAACCGAAAAGACAGGAAGAGCTAATAGAACTGATTTTTGTGTTTAGTTTGTTGTCCTTCCCCCCGCACCTCCGATTAGCACGGCTGACTACGTGAAATGCGAAAGTTCAACATTCAGTTTCAGTGCATACATTAGAATCAGAATAGTTCTACTGGAGGATTCCGATGAGCTATAAAGCTCTATTTTACAGATGTCCAGTCGTTTCACAGATGTCCATACAGAATGACTTGACTACTTTACTTTCATTTTTCTTTTTATTATTTTATTGTTATTATTCTTTATCTACGTGACTTTACCGAAAGACCCAAAGAATACACAAGGGGCCGTCCATAAATGACGTCACGCACCTAGGGGAGGTCAGACATTTGTGACGATGTGTGACGGGGGAGGGTTTGAGAAATGTGACGTCACATCAAAATGCGCAACTTTAGATAAATATAGAATTGTTATAACAACTAATTTTGATACATTTTCATTATTAACTGGAGAAGCATGCATTTTGAATTTTTTTTTATGATTGTTATTAAACATTTTTATTCCAATTATTCTACCAGGGCTTTTCATTCTGTGGAATGATTGTTATAATTGTACTCTTCATTTTACTACAAAGTTTCAAGTTTTTTTTAATAGTTATAATTACTTTTAATATTTTATAATTAAAAGATAATTTCAATATTATATTCTGAACATCTGCAGTTTTAGTTCGACTTTGAATATTTTCAAGTGAATTTTATGCTAAATTTAAGCTTTCCAACGCCTCCTTTTAAATACGTGTTTTCTCCTACAACATCAAAGTGCAGCGCCACATTTAATACGCACTACAATGACAATAGTTTAAAGCGATTTGAAGCGTGTTTTATTTTCAAAATGGAAATATGGTTTTGGGGGGGGAGGCAGAGCTTTGTGACGTCATATTTGAGGGGGGGGGTCTGACTTTTTGTGACGCCGTGTGACGAGGGGGTGGGGTCAAAAATCGTACAAAATCGCGTGACGTCAAGTATGGACAGCCCCTAAAGGGCTTAGGTGCCAGCAAAAAATGTGCACTACCTGAGCATATTGGTACGAGACAGAGAAAAGTGTAAACAAATGACGAAAGGCGCAGTGGCCACCTTCCTATCTGCTGCACCCCATGGATCGTGATGACGGCGACCGCATGCCCCGTCGACTCGCTGCAAAACACAACAGCGGGAACAATGCCCGGGCTGACCAATCACGAGCGTCAGTTGACGACGTCATCGCGCCACTCCGACCAATCGCTGGCCGTCGATTGGGAGGTCGGCGTGGCCCTCTGACCCCGTGACGTCGCGCGGCAGCAGCTGCGGTCGGTCGGTTGACTGCGAGGCGGCGGCGTCGGCGTTTTTAACGTTTTTGTTTTAATTCACACGAATATATATTCTTATAGCGTTAGGTTGTGGTGTCGGCCTTTCACCATGGGGAAGAAGCACCACAAGAAGCACAAGACGGACAAGCATGCGAGCGAAGGTGGGTTTGGCGGGCCGGGAGGGACGCTGCTGCCTAGGCCCTCATTGTCACCGCCGCGGCCTCCGCTCGTTTCGCCTCAAACTTGGCGACGATTTTCTGCGCGTTCGACCAACTAAAGAGTGGGAACCCAGCAAATAGCGTGACTCTTTGTGTCTGCGTTATATTCTACAATAGCTTCATTAAAACGACGCGGGGATGGAGCGAAGGGATCAGGGCTCGGTGTGCAGGAGGATACACGGAGCGGCTTTGCTACATTGCAAGATCGTAAGGAGATTTGTTTTCATCCAGAAGCGGATAGATGATGGCCGATGCGTTTTTAATCATGCGGGATCCGTGGATGGTATTCTGATGTGCCCCCCCCCCCCGCCGCGCACCGACGATTAGCACGGTCGGCTACGTACGGCGTGAAAAGTTCAGCATGCAGAACATAGGTTGGGGTAAAAGAGGGGGATCTTCCACCTCTTCCAAGACGTCTGGTTAGCGTGGAAGAGTAGGCCAAATACCTCCCCCAGTTGAGGCTGGAGAGCTCTCTTTAAGCAATTGCAGAGGGCTTACATGCGCGTTCCTTGTATACATGCATTGCTAGATGAGAGCCTCCCCACCACGTTCGCGGTGTGTTTATTAACTATACTTCTCCATGCAAGTCCGTGTGGGTTGGTAAATTCGGGGAGCACAGACTTGTTTACTGATGCCCTCTGGTGCCCACCGTAATGCGTGGTGCTTTACAGGTGACATTTTCGTACCTCGGAAGCAGGGCCGAGTAAAAGGTTATTTACTCTCTGGGTCTTTCGGTAAAGTCACGTGACGTATGGATTCCTGCAGTCACGAAAGCTTCAAATCAAGATTAAAAGGTTCTTGTCAGCCCGAGGCACTTGTGTTTCGTAGGCCTGCAGTGATAATTCTCTACAGTCGGTCCTGCTGCTGCCCCATGTTACTACTACCGCCGCTGACACTCGCTTGATTGAGCGAAAAACACCATTTGAAGATTTTTGTGCAAATTTAGGAATTTAAAAAAAGCTCAAAGTTCATCTCCGGTGTAAATTTCTCTCGCCTTATTAAAAAACGATTGACATTACTGCCTCGTTGTGCCCATCTTTGCTATATGAATACATTTATTCAAGAAGATATCTTGTTTAAATGTTTTTGTCATACAAACGAAAAAACATGGTCCCTTTTATCTCGTAGGCGCATTCCCGAGCAGAGGTTAAGCACGGATAATAGGGTGGATTTTCGAATTCTCTGGGCGATAGTTTATAACATCCATATAGCGCATGGGTTTTGGAACGATTTTGTGCATCGCATCAGAAGCGCGAATTACTGTACAGGTAGGCCTCAGCAAGGTAAGGTAAAAGTTAAAAGGTAAAAACAACGAGCCTACCTTTACCCTACCTTTTACCCTTACCCTATACAAATTACTCGATTACAGGGTAATTACTGGGGTACTACGACATGAAAAGGTTTATAACGGTAAATGCTAGGTAGAGCGCTTTATACATATAGAATACTCTCGATTCCAATTTTACACGCTTTCTTTGAACTCAATCTATCTGTTGTCGTTATTGTTGTCGTCGTCGCTGTCGTATCCTCAAATCTTCTAACTCAATTTTAACCCACTTTCTAATGTGGTATCGACTGCAAACTTGGTATATGTATGTCATAATGGTGATAATACTGTTATATCACTAAAAAAATACATCTTTTTAAACGATATTTTTTATATGTTATGTTTCGGCTTGGGTCTAATTGTCCACGCTCAACTGACGTTGGCTGTAATTGGCCACGGCCCCTAACGTTATGGCAAGCTTCGGGGCCACTTCCTGGAGTTGTGCAGTTCTGCCATTACTAGTACATTTAATAAAAGCGTGGTTTTTTAAAATATTACTTATTAAATGGAGGCCAAAGGACTGCGCCACGGAGCTTCTAGCGGTAAACAAGGCACCGTATTTACCGGGTAATACTTCGCGCTATCTTTACCCTACCGGGTAATTCTTCCGAGCTACCTTTACCCTACCTTTTACCTTACCCCTTGGCATATCGACACCTTTACCTTTTTACCCGGTAAAAAGTGTAATTTACCTTACCTTGTCGAGGCCTATGTACAGGTATCCTTCGATTTGCGTTCGGTTTACAATGACAAATTACGGACACACTTCGATTAATTAAATCGAATTTCCACGTTAACTAAATTTCGCACGGCACAGGCCACAAGCTCATCAAACAAGAAAACACCTGGAAGGCTGCTTAATCCATTAGCGAATTGTCAAGGTGTCCATACAGTGCAACATTAACGCCTCCACATCACCTTTACAGTCACTCCAACATGCATATCTTTTGGTGAATTCCTGAAATTATATATAATTTTTGTTTTAAATTAATTTCATTTTCAATCGTTTTAATATTTATGTTCTTTATTTTTTGTGAAAAGTGATATAGGTGTATATATTTAGGTTAGGAGTAGAGTTTGAATGACTGTCTGAAATATCCCTAACTTTTAGTATTAAATGGATGGGAAAAGCCATTCTGATTTACGAAATTTAACTTTACACGGTTTCTTTTTCTAAATCGAGGGATACCTGTACAGGCATCTTTCTGTATCCAAGACCCACCTAAACATGAGCAAGACTCATGGTGTTTCCCTGGTTAAATAACATTGTTATGTAATTGGAATTACGGTAAATAATTTCCATTTGTATTAAGACATCAAGAAAGGTGGTATTGTAGGACTTGGCATGCTTATTGTAAAGTATAGAGGTTACTTATATGGCTGTGTGGTTCTGACACCCAACCTTTAACAAGTTTACTCATTGCACAGTGAACCTGGCTATGCACAAAAGCAGGGGGGCTTTTAACTGTACTCGGTCTGGCTTCCTTCTGTCTCAGACGTTTTCAAACATTTTCAACCTGATATGCTATCTTTTTTTGCAAAAAACCATGATGGGTGATGGTTTTGCGCTAGTAACTTTTAGCATTCACTAGGTGGGGTATCTTATTATTTGTACGTTCTAGCCTGGAAACTTTAGAGGTTTCAAAATAATTACTATGGAAATAATTTTAACTACATTATCTTTTTTCGCTTCTAATTAGACAGCCCAGTTATTTGGTGAGTCATTTACTTTAGTCACATCTCTCTAATGACAATAGGACCACGAACTGCAGCATCTAAGTAAGTAACAGCAGTGGAGAGACGAACCCACCTGAGTGTGCCAACGAGGCAATTTCTGTGACCGTGTCCTTGCTGCTCATGAGTATTGTTTCTAAATTATGCGCAGCGACGGAGAGTGTCGACGTGAAGCCGTTGGATGTGAAGGTGAAGCCGTTGGATGTGAAGGTGAAGCCTTTGGAGGTGAAACCACCGGACATGAAACCACCGGACGTGAAACCAGTGGAGGTGAAGCCTGACAAGCCTGCGCTGAAGCTAGTGCTAAAGATGGGCAGCGCCGTGACAGAGGTGACCGAACCTGCCACCTACTTTGCCGAGTCGTCCGACCCCGAGGCGCGCCACCGCGAGAAGAAGAAAAAGAAGAAGAAGAAGTCTGACAAAGAGCGTGATCGCCACGAGACTGAGGAGGAGAGACGGAAACGGAAGGTGGGTGATGACAAACTCTACGACAGCCATCATTGAGGGACTTCCATAACATTTTCACGCACATCGACAAAGATCCCCCATGTAACCTACATATAGATGCTTGCTGTGATGTGTGCTACCTTGGCTGACGCAGTTTGCACGTCATAACCAATGATTGAGGTTACCGCATTCCTTTGGTTGCAAGAAAATGCTGGTACTACCAGAACTTCAATTTTTTATATTAATTTGAAATGTATGTTAGTAAATTTGCTCGGAATATTTAGAAAACACGTTAGTCCTCAATGTTTATAGATGTAAGGAATGTTATAATGAGATTATACTTTGACTTTGGCCTTAAAGAAAATACTGTGAACATCTATCAATCAGGATTGACTTAAATACTGCTTTATAAACATCATTCCTTCTGTGCTTTATGCTGCCAGGAGGAGAAACGCAAGAAACGTGAACGTGAGCGAAGTGAGAACGACCGAGACGGAGAGCAGAGCACGCCACCCAAGAGACCGTCCATCGAACCAATGCCTGAACAGACTCCCCTTCTTGGCAGGCCAAAAGAGATAGGTACTACTTTTACATATGTCTCAAACCTTTACAAACCCTTCTGCTTCCAGTGTCACTGACGAGACTGTCCTCTGTTCTGCTTTCCTGTGATCCACTAACCCAACCCCAACACATTTTATAGTTATGAATGTGATTGTCAGCATCATAAAGAAGTGCTTTTTTATGTATTCTGAATTTATTTTCTTACAGAAAATGATCAAACTCCTCTTCAGCAACTTCTTAGTCACCTTAACAGGCAGCTACAGAGGTGAGTTAATATTGAAAGATTCTATTCCCTTTTACAGTATAAGAAAACCTATAATTGTGCATATATTAATCGTGACAAAATACGACTGTAAAATTTGTAATGTGTTTTATCTTTGGAATAATTTATTTGCAGAAAGGATCCAAGTGGCTTTTTTTTGTTCCCCGTGACGGATGTCATTGCTCCGGGCTACTCTATGATCATTAAAGTTCCAATGGACTTCAGTACCATGCGGGAGAAGATTGACCACAATGAATACCAGTCTGTCACGGAGTTCAAGGCAAGTGGCTGAACTCCATTCATTATCACTTAGGAACACTGTACAATACTATTACAGATATTGTAAGTAGAAGAGCTTTGCAAGTAATTTGTAAATCTATTTTGTTTTTGCAGTCGGATTTCAAGCTGATGTGTGACAATGCCATGACCTACAACAGACCAGAGACAATCTACTATAAGGCCGCCAAGAAGCTTCTCCATACTGGTTTCAAGATGATGAGCAAGGTACTTCTACTGCTTTTAGATGAGCAGAATGTTTATGCACATTAAAAAATCTTATTTTTGGTTTATTCAGATATTCGCTTAATCTTTGTTGATATTACATGTATAATGTCAAATTGACATAATTACTAACAAAACATATTTTCTATGAAATACAAAAGACTGCTAGTAAAGGAATTGGCCAATTAATCCAACATAAGACCCCCCTGAAAAAGCCTTCAGACTGAGGCTTTTTTGGAACAAAAACAAGTTATGAGTCTTGAATACCTTTCATGCACACCATGAATTCCCTCTCCCAATTTAAATACAAACTCAAGACTCAGTCATACCTCATTGCATATGGCTAATCCCGTAACCAGTTTCATGCCACATCAACTTTTCTCAGTGAATCAATACCATTTTTCCTAACATTGTAATGCTTTATCTTTAGAATCACAAGTTACTGCCTGCGCATTTGCGCCAGATACACGTCCAGTGTGGGAGGGTAGGTTGGGGGAGGAGGGGAGGTGTGACATCAACACGAATCTGGCTCAATGCTGTGGTATGCAGGTGACATCACCAAGGTGGCAGCCAGCCCAACAGTTAGGCAGCCAGCAAAGTTTTTTGAATAAAGTATAATAATTGTATCAAGATAATTTTCATTCTTTGTACAGAAGCTGCCAGTGTGATGTAAATTTTTATGTTTTCCCCTGTGATCTACTTTTGGTATAATAAAGTGATGCTGTATTTTTACATAGGAGAAGCTTTTGAGTCTACGGACAAGCCTGGAATTTATGCAGCACATGGATGGCAGCACTCAGGCTGCCCTGCTGGGGGAAGAGACGGATGAGCAACCAGGAGGGGTCAAGGTGGTAGACAGCGACACCACGCATGCTGAAGCCACGCAGCGAAAACCTAAAAAAACAGGCAAGGAGCCAGCCCAAACGTGAGTCCATGTGTAGTGGGTACAAATGACTCACAGACGTCGTTCCTTTTCGAGGCAACACTTTTATTTGTAACACCGTAACACAAAGGGGTAACTGCCCCTTTACCAGACTACAGCGAGTTACTGCTACAAAGGGTCGATCCCTCACACGGGTCTCCGACCACGTGGTTGCCTCGTAGGAAGGAGAGCTTCAGCTTGAGACGTAGAGCTTCCCGCTTGTGGATGTTGAGTTTCCAGCTTGTAGAATGCAGCGACCTCAGTTCCTTCCATGGACCCGCCTTATATCCCTCTCCGGTCGGGGCCGCTCTGCCCTCGGCCCCGCCCACCTTCCTGAACATTCTCGTTCCCTCTCGGACCTTCTCAAGAGCTCTCACCGGACAAGTGATCACCCCCTAGTCCCCCCCACCTGGGGCCCCCTGTATGGACATTCCGGATCACGTGTCTATGGGGTCAACCAGAGTGTCATGGCCTGGGGCAACCCTGCCCCTGGGCTGACACTCACCCCCTCCCCCTCAGGGGAGCCCCCACCCACCACACGCTGTGTGTGGTGCCCGCACTATCCCAGTGCTCGCCAAGCCCCGCTAGGGCTGGAATAACACACAGCCACCCACACGGTGCTGTCCACGATGTAGGAAAATCGAACGGCACGACCCTTCTGGGCCGGCACCATACAGTCACATCCCCGATGTCACTACACATGTATGAGCGGATTTTTACGTGTAGGAATCCGTTTAAAAATAAGACAACCTAAATAACTATTTGGTGCTGTTTTGCTTAATTAAAAAGACTATCAATCCAAAGCCAAGAGGTAGTTGAGTTTACTTCTCAATTGCAGGTCCTGGCTACAGAACAAAAATTGTTGTGGCTTACCAATTTCCAACACCTCTTGTGCCCTGGGCTCGATAGACCAACATGAACCCTATCTGTGCATACAACGCATGTACATCTATGATTCTATTCATAAATGGGTTCTTACATGCACAATTATATGCATATGTCACGAGTATAAGAATGAATTTTAAGAGTTGAATTAGTGCATGGTTACATCCACATCATGCACATTATAACTTTGGGCGTTGATATGGGTTGTTCCCCTTATGTGTGTGGTCATGGTTGCAGTCCACCAGAAGTGGAACCAGAGGCAGATGCGTGCAGCTTCACAGACAGCACAGCTGGCGAGCATGTGCTGGCACTAGCAGAGCACGCAGCTGATGAGGCACAAGACAAACTGGCACGCTGCAAGCCCAACAGCAAGGCAAGCCGCACACACACATGCACTATTGCCAAACATGTATTTACAGCCCAACACACAAACACACAGGCACATACAAAGGCACTCGCATGTAAGTATATTGCACACCCATACACATAATCACATCCGCCTGTGAAATAAATTTCCATGCATTTGCATGTACATGCCCACACACATTCAAAATAACACCGATATAACAGAGATCTTCTATTAGCCTCAATGAAATGGCGGCACAAGGTTTGTTCTTGTGCACATTTTCAGACCAGAATGTTGTGTAGTGACATGGTTTTGCCAGCACCACATGGTAATATTGAGCATTTGATGCTATTAGGTCTGATACATTATGAACATGCGACATCGTAGAGCAATTGCATTGAAGCAGTAGGTGCTATTCAAATATTCGGTAGTGACCAATTATTGAGTGGTTTCACACCTCTTTATATTCTGACCATTCTCCTAGGAATTTGGACTTTTCACCACATGCTCAGCTTTCTTTGGGAAAAAAACTATTTGAGCATGGAAACACTTTTTCATATTTTGGACCTGCTTCATCCACATTGCACATTAAAATGAATGGTGAAACTTTCATATAACACTTGTTTTTAGAGCATCATACTAGTCATGAGGAATATACATGATTATAGTTGAACTAGGGACTGTATTACAGATTGATAAAAAAATATATATTGAAGGTGATTTTTTCGTCCAGTTTTACATGAAACATTTAGGGTTAATAAAAGCTTGCCTTACATTCACTCGTTTGTAAGCATTGTCATAGTATATTACTTGAGATGGTTTATTCCAGTTCAAAACTGCATTGAGTTTAGTATTCTCCTCGTGTTTAAAGTTCAATTGATTCAGTCATACACTCCACTGAGTTCTCTGAGATCTACCAATCATGCCCTACTCAGCGTAACCACACTCCAGGTTTTGAACCTTGGTTGAACGATTGGGCTTTTGGCTGCATGGCACCCAGGCTTTGGAATTCCCTTCCCTTGGAACTCCAGAACTTGTAGTCGATTGAGACTTATAAGTCCCAGTGGAGAGACCCCACCTATCTAAAAAGACGTCACTCTCTAGCCTTTCTGTCCACAATTCTCACTTATGTTGCTCCTCCATATGCATAACACTTTGAGATCCATTTTTAAGGATGCCTTATCAATCCAAGTAAATATAATTCATTTTTAACCTGCCCATCATAGTAAAAAGTAAATGCAATCTTAATGCCATCCATGTATTCTACAACTGAAAACAACTTTGCATGGTTAAAACCATTTCCTTGTGCTGAAATTTTTTGACTTAATATTACCATAAAATAGTTGCTCATACACCCTTTGGAGGATACAACAATACACATTTACTTCACGAACATGCTTGTCACTCACTTTAACATATGACACTTTAATACACAGCTTCTTAAAGTCTTCTTGCCAACTTCACAGATTGGATTTCTGCGGAAGGACGAGGAAGGCTTAACAACTCTCGCCATCGTGAACCCTGCAGATTCTGATTCTCACGGTGGGAAGCCTATCCAGCGGTATCATCTCACGTATCAAATTTGTATCGCATATCAGTATTTATGGATGAACGCATATAGCTTCAACTTACATTTGACCATGTCTGTGAAAAGTTATGGTAGTTTGACCTGATTTGATTTTTGACTCACAATTATTTACTTTTGTCAAATTTAAATGACGAATGGGCTGTTCACATTATACAGGGCATGCACTGCAGTACCGCACAATGCATGATAGTTTTTATTGAAACTTGGATGTACTGTACAGTAGCAGGCAAATGTCACCTTTATGGAAACTCTTCAGGCTTTCCATGCTTTGAATTTGACTTCCATCCTTGACTGCAGGTTTACAGGGTTAAACCTCTCTTCTCATCTTTGCAGGTTTTCACTTGATCGTGGACAGTCCTACATTAAGCACAATAAATAATTGAGATGTATATGTTCCCTTGTGTTTGCCTTAAACAAGTTGTCTTATTAACAAGTTCCTGGGGTTTTTCAGTGTTTACATTGTGATAATGTTCTTTTCTCCCATAGCAAAGATAATCATTCATCAGTTTGATGTTATTTCAATATAGAAATTACATTAATTTAGTTAGTTTACCTCCCCTTCCAGTTTAGTGGTTTTTCATGCCGAACAGTTGTGTCATTTTCCTATGTGCATTTTTATAAGCTAATTGTTTTTAACGGATTTTGCATTTTTCTTTGTGTGTTCTCGGAAAAAAGGAGAGAGCTACCCTGTGACTTTGGGGATGCTGGTTGGGAAGCTCCAGTTCGGCACCAGCTGCTTGCAAGGCTTCAAAGAGGACAAGCGAAACCGCATTACGCCAGGTGGCCTTGATATTATCACGCATACACTTATCTTACTTTTTGGAGAAAATCCATTGCTTTTGTATCTTCTCTCAATGGGAGGTACTTCTACGCTTTGTCATGTCAAGGAATATATTCAAATTTATGGTCTGCTCTACAGCTTGTGTGATTAACAAATAATAACTAGGAATGCACTGCATATTTTCTTCATCTTTGACTTTAGCCAAATACAGCTGGCATTTTGTATTTACTTACATTATCACTCTTTCAGGATCAGGATCTTGTCCTGATTATTTTTTATGTAGTTTAAAATGAAACCTCGTATCTAATTGCAAAATTTTGTTTGTGAGGATTGTTTAACTTACTGGTGAGCTAACAATAATAATTGGCACGTTAAATGCTTCGTGCACATGACCATCAATTTGTGTCGGGTGGAGGAGAGTTCTTAATGACACATTTAGTGAGATTACATGGGCTAACCCAAAATCAATTATTAATCACTAGCCTTTTGCCTCTCCTAGGATGGAAGCTGTAATATTTACGCAAACATTGAGCAGAGTATAATTGTATCTTGTGTAAATTTAATGGCAGTGAATCTTGCACGAAATAATGTCATCAAACACTACACTGCATTTCACTGTAGCGCTGTATTTAACTCCCCTTCAATTAGTTCAAAATCACTGCTTTGATACTTTATTTTATTTTGCTTTCGCTCGCTGTGGTTGTAATAAATTTGAATTCGATACAATGTCTGGAAAATCATGGAGAAATGTATATATTTTAATATAGAAGCAACAATTAGACTTACCTTTTGGTTCAAGTGCTGAAGAAATAAATAAAGACACCAAATACACTTAGTTGCTGCGTATATTTATTTATTTGATTAACTTTCAATAAAGAAACGTCAAATTTAAAGCGAATTTGCGTAAAAAAAATGTTTCTCCGCTCGACCTGGGGGAGTGTAAAAATTCACCCGCGCATGATTATTTTATTAATAATTTCCGTGGGGTGCGGCATGTGGAGTGACGTCACGCGCGTTACACACATCTGGGCTATTATTGATCAAGTTTGCAAAAAAAGCTTGTGAATCTCATTTAATTATTTTAAAAGACATAACCCAAAACACAACTATATGCTCTGTGTGTACTTGCCTAGGCTGAGTAATATTGGCATAAAGTTTAAAGGGACATCTGAAAAATGCAAACATTACAGGCATGGGACTTTCAGGCACTCCAGAAAGTGCTGCCCCATTTCTAGTCTCCCTGTGGAGTTCTTTTACCTCGATTCACATTGTGAGAATCCCATACCCCAGAGTATGTTATAACATTCAATGCGTAGTGGAAGCTACTGCGTGTTCGTCCAAATTGCTCAGCATAAAGGGGATTTAAACTGCAATGGTGTCAATCCATCATGAAGTTGGTATCTGGGATTTGAAAGGTGTTTGTGAAGTCTTTTTTCATGCAGATTTGATCTCCCACATGGATCAACACTGTGTTTGACAAGACAGTAAAATAGCATCCATTTTTCAACGGTTTTATTTAACTTGATTCCTGTGTCGTGGTCAAATATTGTAATACAAATTTCGTCTACTTCCTGTTGTCCAATCAATTCCAAGTTTTGCACACGTACTCAGATTCGGTGACAATGCATGCCTGTATCATCAATTAATCTGTTAATTTGCTACTTTAAAGCAATTTACATTTTGTATGGATGCCTTATTATTTTAAAAAATTGCGTAGGTCAAAAATGCCACGGTCCACAAACTCTCGAATCGCCTCACCCAAGAAGCAGGCGCCACGTGTCTAAGGCGCGCCAGTTCTGTGTAAACGAGTTACAGGCACCCTCACTCCACACAAACACAAGTTGTACATTGAAGATTCATTTATAAAGTAATCAATTAATTCAAGTAAGCATTGATGTGGGAGCAGGCGCCGCATCATTGACGTACTTCTCGACCATCAGTTAAACGAATTTGTGAATAAAACCGTTGTTTTTAAAAACTTTTTTTAAGGGGTTTATTATGGATCACATTTCCCTTTAATTCATTATAAATTTGTTTTATTTGTATGTATTCGGTGTGTGTGTGTTTTCGGTTTGTATATTCAGTGACGTACCTGAATTATGGGCCATTCAGCACCTTTGCGCCACAGTACGACTCTACTTTCTCAAACCTGAGCAAAGAGGAATCGGACGTCCTTTATTCAACGTATGGAGATCAGGCAGGCCTGCAGTATGCCGTCAGGTGCGTGTTTATTGGAGATATTTTACCCATGGTAACAGGAGAAATTGCATCCTCACTTGAAGCCTATACCATATAATCCATAGATATAATGGGTAAAAAATAAGCTTATTTACAAGATTTTTGATGTGCCTTAGACACTAAATTCTGGGCAATGGGTGTCTGTAGTGGTAGCACAGCAAGTAGATTTGTGATCTACGACTGCAGTGTTTGCTTGTCATGTGTGTGAATTTTCTACATGCCACTTCTGCTTCCTCCCACATCCATACCAAAAGAATTGGAATCGATTTCTCAGTTCAAGTAGGACTATGTCAGATATGTAGTCTACAGCATTTTGCAGTGGCACAAGACGTTTCATATTTCAGAAATTTAAAAAAATGTCAAACATGCTACACTTTTTACAACATGGTTGGTTAAAATGTTCAAACATGTTAATATTATAATGTAACCTTTTCTTCAAAGCATGAAAGATTTGTACAAAATTTATTTCACTTTTGGGATACAAAAACATGCAAACATTTGCAATAACAGAATGAAAACCATAACGTTTACAAGTGAGTAATACAACTTTTCTGAAGAACATGTTTAACTAGGTTGCAGCCCCCTGTGTGTGAAAAAACTTAATATTTGTATTAGAATATTTGGCTCAAGCAATTTAAGGGGTGAATAGTACAGAGATTCCTGCACCACTAACTAGACCTTTACACGTGTACAATTGTTGCAGACATACAAGATGTTGCCTTAAATGTTATCTAGAAGTTGAAGCTGCTTGCATGTCTGTGAGGACGAGGACCCTTATTAGCCCTGAACCAGCACCACTAAGATCATGAGACCTAAATGCATGTGTTTGTCTATGATAAATAATTTTCTTGGGTAATGAATTACAGTGATGACTAACTATACACATTGGTGATAATTGCTAATTGCGGACAACAGGCTTCCTCAGACAACGCAGTGTAGTGCTGCTCTGACCTCAGCACATAATACAATTTTTCTAACAATTCTTGTAGGTTGATAGTAGGATTACACTGTGTTTGTGTCTGCAGTATTCAAGATTACATCAGAGACTGTGGGGATTATACTGTGCACATGGTGGACAACCTTCTGGACATTCTTTCCCATGGAGAGCATGGCAAGACCCTCAAACAGCAAAAAGAGGTTTGATGATTTGTTAAAGTACTATTCAAACTATGTCAAGTTCAATCAGTTTGTCTATACAGACAGTTCTCAAGTTAGGTGTGGTTCGACTTGCGTCGATCTACACTTATGGAAGGTTGCCAATTGCCACCCAGCCATCAAATTCACCATGGAGGTGGAAAAGGATGGCAAGTTACCATTCTTGGATGTTTTGATCGAAAAGAAACCAGATGGCTCAATGGGACACTGTCTACAGGAAAGCCACCTATACGGATGCCTACCTAAAACCTGACTCCCACCACCATCCAGCCCCCCTCATCAAACTCTACACCATAGAGCTCGTTGTATTTCCGACCATCACACCTAGCCAGTGAACTGGAGCACGATATTCAGACTACACAATCCGTAAAGCTATCACCCCAACCGTTGAGAATGAACCATCTGAGGACCCAATCAAAACCATCACCTTGCCATACATAGCAGGGGTTACGAAAAATATTTCCAAAATCATGAGCAAACGCAAGATCCTGACTCGATTCAACACAGTACATAAAATTCGTGATCTGATCCCATCTGTGAAGGATGTGATCCCTGACATGCAATACCCCAGTGTTTACAAACTAAGCTGTGTCTGCGGCAGTAGATACATTGGGGAAACTAAGCAACATGTCTCGGACCGTGTTCATGAACATAAGGCAGGTCTGAAACACGGTAGGACCTATACCTCGGCCGTGGCTGATCGTTGTTTTGACGCTTTGGGCTCACACGAAATAGATTTTTCCAAGACGAAGGTACTCTGCAAACCCACTGGCTATCAACAAAGATTTCTTCATGAAGCCATCCAGATATATAAACACAGACACAATTTCAACCGAGAAGATGGCTACAAACTGAGCAATCATTGGAAGGAAGTTATTAACCAGTTTAAGTCATTACTGGCTGTGATATTTACATCCTACCTGCTGATGTTAGCAGCTATTTCTGACTAGTAACATTACCAGGTTAAATGTCTTTACATTAACAGGCTAAATGTATCACTAACACAGCCACCGTTGCGGTGGTTCACTTACATTGACATGCTGATCTCTCACAATACAATGGCCACCTCCACAGCTTCGATGGTGCCCGGTTTTCTTATATTGAGATGCTAATATTACATTAACAATTTGACATGCTAATCTCTCACAATATAATGGCCACCTCCACAGCTTCGTAGTCGTGGAGGTATATCAGCTCTCGATCTTACATTTACACGCAAATTCCATCTCTAGCCCCGCCCACTTGCCCTTTGGCTACACCCATCTCAAACCTATATAACATCCTGCTTCAGCAGCGCTCCTGCTATATGTTTTCCTGCTTCAGCAGCGCTCCCGCTATATGTTTTCCTGCTTCAGCAGCGCTCCTGCTATATGTTTTCCTGCTTCAGCAGCGCTCCCGCTATATGTTTTCCTGCTTCAGCAGCGCTCCCGCTATATGTTTTCCTGCTTCAGCAGCGCTCCTGCTATATGTTTTCCTGCCTCAGCAGCTTTCCCGCTATATTTTTTCACCTCATGACGATTGCTTGTGTTGCGATCGAAACATGATATTTATATAATTTTTATTATTTTTATTCTATCTACGTGGCTTTACCGAAAGACCCAAAGAATACTTGGAGTAAATGTCATCTGATCATGCCGCTTTCCTGGTTTTAGCGGCTGATAAGGTCGCCTCAATTTAATCTCCTATGTATGGGGATGAAAGCTGGGATTCAGCTGGTGAGAAACTTTACGTCAAATAGCTTGTTGATGCCACCTTTGGTGTTATTGATCTTGTCTTAAATTTCAGCAGTGAATTTTGGCCACATTGATCTATGTAAATTATATTGATCCCTTGGCTTTGACAATAACAATGGAACTAATATACCAATGTGCATCACAGCTAGGCGATGCTGGCTGTGCTGCAGGATTTTTTGGGGTTAGTTACAGGGACTGGGTTTTTGTTTGTGGACGTAAAAGAGACATTGATGAAATGTTCTCCTGCATAGTTGTTTGTAGCGTAGCCCCACCTAAGAGTGGTAGCTGTTAAAGTTACCCATCTGGATGGCAGGGTGCATCATCTTTGGCAGTCCTGGAGGTGGCCACTTTATAAGCGGTGGCTTATATACATTGGTAAGAGTAATTTTCCAATTTGTATTTCAGCTTTTGAGATTCTGTGGATGTCAGCTTCCTCGAACACATTGAAGTCTTGACGCTTTGGATGATGTACGGCCAGGATGAGTTTGAAGCTGTGCATGTAGTAGTAGTTGGTGGTGTTTTTGATTGCATCCATGCAGGGCAAGTACGTCACTGATCAGATCTTGAAGTGTTCTGAGAGATATATGTATTTTGCGCACAATATTCCTTCGATGTTCAGTTGTTAGACTTATAAGCTTGGGCCAATGCTCCAGGTGAAATGGCCCTGAGAAGGGCTTTTTCTTGTAAATGATTTTGTCGAGTTGATGACAGTATTTCGAGTTTGAAAAACACTTGACAGGTGGACCATGTGCAAGTTGTCATCTCCCACCCATCATATGATAGAAAATATAGGATTCATAGAAAAGTGTCATGTATATACATCAGTATCCTCTGTGCCTGTAGTCTTTGAATTCAAAATAATCTCTTTAACCAAATGTCCAATTACATACAGGTCTGCTTAACATTTTGGGTTTTGTAAATGAGTGAAGTTATCAGTAATCTTTTTGTACCCGTATAATTCATTAAGTGTGTAGTCAGTCCAACTGAGTCGCAGACGTTATCTTAGGAGCAACACTATTTATTTACACAACGGTACGTAACATTACACAATCTACACTCGGGTCTTGAATGCCCATCTAACCACGCTACGGCAGAACTTGACACATTTCGCTATCCCGGTCCGGACCACAAGCTGGGTCCCGGACGGCGTGACTAGAGGCTGCTTCTCCCCGACGTGGATCTTCGTAACACCAGCACACGAAGAACCCCGAGCTCTTCACGGGGCCCTCGTTATATGCCCCCGGGCTGGGGCTGGCTCCACCCTTCACCCCGTCCACCTTCCAGGTCTCTCGAGCTCTTTCTCGAAGGTTCCCGAGAGCTCTTTTGGACCACGTGACCGCCCCGCGTCCCCCGTGCCCCGGTGGCCTCCCTCCAATATCCGGTCACGTGTCAGCAGGTCAACCACTGTATCATGCCCTAACGTAACCCTGGCTGGCTGACGCTCCCTCTCGCTCCCTCACCGGGAGCCCGCACCGCACACTGCTCGCGGTGCCTCCATGCTAGCCAGCGCTCACCCAGCCTCGCCAGGGCTGGTACTACACCCCGTAACCCAGGCTGCCCATAATGACAACACATCTGCCGTGGCTTCATAAGCTCCGGCACCATACAGTGACAACCACAGTCACTACAAGTGCATAAAGTGAGTACCAATTTTTGCACGTCAACAGTTAGGTAATGGTGAGACTGGCCCACCATAGAAATGTGTAATTTCCTTCACTGGCCCAAGGCTGTCACAGGCACAGCCACATGCTCTTTTAATCATGATGCTACAATTGACTTATGTACACAATGTCATATACCTCTGTTTTAGGCTATGGCAGATGCAGAGAAGAGTGGAAAAGAAAATGGTGCTGATGTTACTAATGTATGTATACAATTCACTGCATTGTTGCATTTTATATGTACATAAATTAGCTTTGTTGTGCTATGTTGTATTTATACTTTTAAGGAAAACGATTAAGATTCATACTGGTGTGAAGTAAACTTGTTTATTGAAAAAGGCCTTGCAAGGGTGAATTTAAGTCTTGTCTTTGTCTGTTATGTGTGCAGAAAAATGGTATCTCTGTCAGTAAACCTGACCAAAATTCTGATTCTGCGGAAGCTTCAGGTTCTCCAGAATTACCAGGTATGTAACAGCTGTTACATCTGCTCATTGACACTCAAATCAACAATGCACTTTGTGTGGTAAGACGCACCGTAAAATATTTGCCGCTGCAGTGGCTGCCTGTACTCATTATTATCTCGCCATCGAACATCCACTAGGATGCTGCAATATGTAGGAAGTGTAAGAAGATATCCCTCTATATATTACCTCCGATTAATATGGTTGGCAATGTACATGGTACAAGAGAAGTTCAAACATACATAAAATCCCAACCACCTTACGGTTTGAAATCTTGACATCCATTTTGGTCACATGCCTTGAATCTTTTGTCAACCGAAAAGGACCTCGCTGCCCAATGGCATGAGATGTGGAGAAATTGCAGTGTCCAGAACCACTCGCACATCACTCACCACTGATGTTTGCCACAGTCTGGAATCAAACTCAAGTTCTCAGGTTACAAGGGCAGTTTCCTAACAACTGCTGCACCCCTCCACCCTGCTGCATTCTTCCACTGTTGATAACTTAAACACTCACTATTTCTAGTAATACTATTGAGGTATTTTTCAGCTCAGATATTTGTATTTAAAAAGCATAAAAATAAAGAAACATTAACCATATCTCTCCAAGCATGCAAAGGTTTGGCTCTGCAAAATTATTCGCCTTTATTGTTCAGAATTTAAAAAGTAGAGAAACTAATTTAGTTTTTTTGAAGTATAATTGAGTGTATGCGTTGTTTGCCGATGGTGAGAAATGATTTCTTCATTGTTGCAAGCAGAGGAATCAACACAGCCAGTCAACGAGAACGAGTCGCAGATGTTCCAGCGAAGACTGAATGAGACGGGGCAGCTCCTGAAAGACCTGCAGGATGCCCAGACGCTGCGTCTGAGTGCTCGGCCTCCTCCAAACCTCAGTAACTTGCTCGGCCCTTCCCCAGCTGAGGTGCAACTAGGTGAGAAGCCTCTAGAAACACATTCAGGGAGTAGGGCATTGCTTTTTCATCTGGAGTTCACTGCATAACTGATGTAGTTGAGTATAAAAAATAATTCATTCATTTAACATAAAAGTACACACTTAGATGTGTCGTGAGCAGCATAAAAAGTTAATAACAAAGGTTTTTGGGTTAGATCGCGTTATTATGAATGTGTCACACCCCTCCACCACCCGACACGGCCAATCAGTAAAAAATGTGTCACGTTAACAAAATGCCAATTAGTTACTTCTTCAGCCCACTGGTATGTTTGAAGAGTGAATCCACAACATTTAGAATTTGAGTGACGTTTCGCTTCTAATTACATCCAGCATCTTCGGGCGATTTGCCTGCATAGTGAAGCCATCCACCTGGTTCTGGTCTTAAATAGTGCAGGATGACATCATCATTGTTGAACCCCATCAGGTTTTGAGATCAGAGGCGGAGGTGGGGGGGTATTGTAAGTATATAATAGATTAGTAATCAGTTAATTAATATGATTCCTCTATAAGGAATTGTAATATGTATTGTGTATTACTTAATAATACACTTCCAGGCTGCGCTAAGTCTAGTTATCAGAGCGGTTAAAATTATTTGTTTTTTTCTCAATTTCGATGGGTTCTCTCATTAGTCTTGGCCAGTAATAATTCGTTTTGCATAACACTTCAACATTAGCAAAATCAATTGAGTGTCCTTGTTGGAAAGCATGTTCTGCCACTGCTGACAGTTTTGTTTTAGATAATTTAATGTTCCTTTGGTGTTCTTTTAGTCTTACGCTAATGTTACGTCCCGTCTGTCCAATATAGCATTTACCACATAAGCAATTGATCCGATATATGCGCCTTCTGTTGATAACTTCGATAATTAATCTTTAGTACAAGATGCTAGTTTTTTTATTTTGTGTACCGTACCAATTCTTACTTTAATGTTTTGCTTTTTCAAAACACGGGCTAATTTGTCAGTTACTCCTGAGATATATGGTATTTTAATTGGTTTGATAATCTGATCAATTTCAGCAGTATTGTTGTTAAGTCTTGGTTTGGCATTCAATGCTCTGTTAATTTGAGCATTATTGTAGCCATTCAGTCGTAGTGCTTCTTTAACATATTTAATCTCCAGACTTTCACCATCTGACACTGTGTTTGCCCGATGTATGAGCGTCTTAATGAGAGAGGATTTCTGTGCTGGGTGATGATGCAAATCTGCATTCAGATAGGCATCAGTGTGTGTTCCCTTTTCGGTAGACGCTGTGTGTTTATCATTTCGTCCAAGCCACGCCCCCTTTCCAAAACCTTTGAGCTGGTTCCCGGAGCTTTTCGACTGACTCCGCCTTTCACCTTTACCCCAGATATGCCCCCCTTATAATAAGGCATTATGTAATGCAGCCATGACCGTAATTACCACTCCAGGCCGACAGGTGTCACCCTGTCATTACACCTGGATGGAGTGGTGTATTTTAATGCACATCTATTTTGATTGCTTTAATTGTCATCGCTGGTATAAGTAAATGTAAAAAACATACAGATATCAATGTATGTATTTGACACGTTACACACCACCATTGCGACAGATGTATTGAGATCACATTGACATGTAACAGTAATTGCCGAGGTGGAATCGGTGGTATCGGTGGTAAGACATCTTCCACATAACGAGGCAGAGAAGACTAGACATGAGGTTGCCAAAATAATTGAGAATAGCAAAATACCAAATATTAATATTAGCTTTGGTGAAGCAAAAGAGAGCTTAGATGAAATACAGAAATTCAAATTCTGGCAGCTGATGAAGGCCGCACTACTGTCAGAGGATACTGATGTATATACATGACACTTTTCTATGAATCCTATATTTTCTATCATATGATGGGTGGGAGATGACAACTTGCACATGGTCCACCTGTCAAGTGTTTTTCAAACTCGAAATACTGTCATCAACTCGACAAAATCATTTACAAGAAAAAGCCCTTCTCAGGGCCATTTCACCTGGAGCATTGGCCCAAGCTTATAAGTCTAACAACTGAACATCGAAGGAATATTGTCCCGATCAGATTATGATAAGAAAATGAAATATTTACTGGAGGAAGATACCTATATTATAATTAAATGAGATAAAACCAATACTTTATAATGCAAGACTCCTGCAATCATTGCAATTTAATTATTCCCCAAGACTGAACAAAACCAAATTAAGCCACGGGCCTCAACACCACCAAGATTGTATGGGCTACCAAAAATTAATAAAATCGATATCCCATTACGACCCATAGTAAGTAGAATAGGCTCTGCCACATATAAATTAGCAAAATATGTAACTAAACAAATACAGCCCTATATCGGTAGGACATCTTCATTTATAAGAAACTAGCGGGAAGTACCCGGCGTTGCGCGGGTCTTAAAAATATTTCAAAACTCCTCTTAAAAATCTAACAGCAGTGCGTACTGACTGTGGTGGTACCTGCTATGATTACAGGAGTGAATACCGACTGTGGTGGTACCTGCTATCACTACAATAGTACATGATGACTCTATAGCAGTATTTATCGACTCTACGGCACAAAGTACTCACCTGACAGAGTGGCGTGGTGAGGCCTAGTCCCGTGCAGAGCCTCCGGCCTCGCCTAGATTGTCCAGCCGGCCGAGGTGGCACCTTGGCAGGCTGACCCCCCCCCCCCCCAGCCACGATCTCCCCGGCCACTCTGCAGTAATATCTACGGCCTATAATAGTAGCATCTAGCGACTATATAGTAGTAATAACTGCACGCATCAGGTTGGGGGGACATCACACAGTGAAGAATTAACGTCAGCATTTAGTGTATTTTTATAGCATTTTTAACGCGAAATGAAAATGTCCCCCTCACTCCCACCGAAGGCGTGCGACTTTGCATGGGCCAACCCCCCCACCAAAGGCGCATGAGTCGGTATGGTCCTGCATGTGTCATAAATAAATGAATGATAAGTGCACAAAAACCGCACTAAATCGCTAATTAAACTAATTTAAAGTTGACGGATGTGAAAAAGAAATAGTGCTTGCTCACGGCGGGGCTTTTGGTGTGGTACCTGGCTATTTTAATCCCATTCACTCCCACCGAAGGCGTGCGACTTGGCATGGGCCGTCCCCCCCACCAAAGGCACGTGAGATGGTATGGTCGTGCACGTGTCATAAATAAATAAATAAAATGGAAGCGCACTGAAATAGCACTAGATCGCTAATTAAACTAATTAAAAGTTGACGGATGTGAAAAAGGACTAGCGCTTGCTCACCGCGGGGCTTACGGCGTAGGTACCTGGCTATTCACCTGGCTATTTCTTTTTTACCTAAACCCTACCGTTGGAGAGCCAAGCGCGCGACCACACAAACCCCGCCACAAACAAACCCCGCCACAAACCCACACACAACTTTTGACTTTTTTATATATATAGATTCAGAACATCTTGTGAATATGATTAAAGATATTAAATTTAACCCTAATGATAATATGTGATAGCTATAGACTCAGCACAGCCTATTAACACATTGCAATTCCTTACAGGTGAGTCACATGCGAAGGGGCTGATTACTGATCTATTACATCACCCCACCTCCGCCTCTCACCTCGAATCCTGATGGAGTTTGATGACGTCATCATGCACTATTTAAGACCCGGAAGCAGGTGGATGGCTTCACTCTTCTGGCAAATCGCCCGAAGATGCTTGATGTAATTTTCAGCAAAACGTCGTACTCAAATTGTAAATGTTGTGGATCCACTCTTCAACACACCGGTGGGCTAAAGTAGTGAACTATTTGTCTTTTGTCAGCGTGTCACATTTTTTACTAATTAGCCGTGTCGGGTGGTGGAGGGTTGCGACACATTTATAAATAACGTGATCTAACCCAAAACCATTATTATGAACGGTAGGTTTTACCCTTTCTGGAAATAAAACACATGTCAAGATGTTCAAACACCAAACAGAATCCTTTTTCAAGAAATCCTGTCTGCATTAACCACATGTACTTGCTCTGATAATATATGCATTGTCTTTGAAATTAATTGGTCCACACCAGAGACAGCTTTTTTTTTAGCCTAATCTCAAAGTTTTCGACCAGAGAATGCCAAAAGGCGAACAGCACAAAGACAGTTTCAAAGACAATGCATATGTAGTGAGTCCAACTGAGTCGCAGACGTTGGCTTGGGAGCAACACTATTTATTACATCACCTCAACACAACATAATGTAACCTACACTTGGGTGTTGAACGCCCATCTAACCACTCTACGGCAGAACTAGACACGGTCCCGTCATCCCGGTCCGGACCACGAGCTGGGTCCCGGACCGCGTGGCGAGAGGCTTCTTCAACCTGACGTGGATCTTCTTCACCAGCAACCCGAAGAACCGCGAGCCCCTCACGGGGTCCCCGTTATATCAGCCTGGGCTGGGGCTGGCTCCGCCCCTCGCCCCGCCCACTTTCTAGATCTCTCGAGCTCTTTCCCGAAGGCTTCCGAGAGCTCCTTTATACCACGTGACAGCCCAGTGGCCCTCGTCCACCGGTGCCCCCCCACTCCAATATCACGTGTTGGCAGGTCAACCAGCGTATCATGCCCCAACATAACCCTGGCTGGCTGACGCTCTCTCTCGCTCCCTCACCAGGAGCCCGCACCGCACACTGTACGTGGTGCTTCTGCACTTACCAGCGCTCATCCAAGCCCCGCTAGGGCTGGTACTATGCCCAGTAACCGGGCTGCACATGACAAAATATCCGCCGTAGCCTCGCAAGCCCGGCACCACACAGTGACATTCACAGTCACTACACATATATTATCAGAGCATGTTTTTTGTTTGCATGTTCACCACAAGTACATGTTGTCAATACAGACAGGATTCCTTGAAAAATTATTCTGTTTGGTGTTTTAACATCTTGACACCTATTTTAGTGGCAGAAAGGAGAAAACCTACTTATATTTTTATACTGGAAAAAAGGTCCCATCCATATAGCACATTAGCATCTCTACCAAGAGCACCTAAATGAAAATAAATATGAAGAACATAGGTTTCCACCATTAGCAAAGATATTTGTTCCATAAATTACGCATGTTCCTTTCAGCCGGCAAGGTGACTAATGGACTGAAGGTGCTGACAAGCTGCGTCGCCCCCGGGGACATGGTGAGCACAGCGGGTCTGCACAAGGCGATGGGAATTGCCGTGTGTCCCGTCGAGACCACGACGTCTCCAAAGCTTCCACCAGCACAGACGCAGATCAAACAGATGCAACAGCAGGCACAAGTGGCAACGCCCGATACGCAATTTCCTTCTCCAAGCCATGGTAAGTATTATTTTAAGGCACGCTGTAGTGTGCTAATGCTCATCTCAGGATACTGAGACACCAGTGCTAAAGTTATGGGTTATAAAACATGGATAATCACTCGTATATCAGGCAAAAACAGCATCAGATGATGAAAATCTGAGGAGTGAGATTAAGTGTCAAGTTCTACAATTGAGTGGGCTACAATAATGCATAAGTTAACACAGAATTGAGTGTTAAAAGACAAAAGAAAATACGTTAGAATGGACAATTGCAATCAAAGCAATGTAACTCCCGTTCACTGTGGGAGTCACTGATGAAATGGCTAGAATTTTGGAAAAACAAGGTCTGAGTGAGATTAGACAGGGTACACAAAATACAACTGTTAACTGCCACCGACGATGTGCCACCCAATTACTTAAACGTTTGGAAAATGTTATGTTGGTTTGAAGCTTTCGTGACTGCAGGAATGCATAGTCTTTGGTTCTTTTGGTAAAGTCACGTAGATAGACAAAATAATAGATCATGACGTTTCGATCGCTTGCATTGCGATAGAAACGTCATGATCTATTATTTTGTCTACCTACGTGACTTTACCGAAAGGACCAAAGAGTGTTATGTTGACTCGACATGATGAAAGATTATGACAATAAAAGAACACCAGAGGAGGATTGAATACAAACACAATTGTCGGCAGTTTCGAAACATACCTGCCAACAAGGATATTCAATGTATTCTGATTATGATATTCGTTGCAAAACTAAATTATTTTGGCCAAGACTAATTAGAGAATTTATTTAAATTGAGAGATAGAAAAATGTCAACTGACCTAACAGCTATGGGCTGTTTGGAAACACATTATTAAGTAATCACATTGCAAATTACAGTAATCTCACTATACGCAAGGGATGTATTTCTGGGACATGCTCCTAAAATCAAAATCACTTTAAGCAAACTCCATAGACATAATGTTTAAATCAGCGGTTGCATTCCTTGTCGCCATTTATTGAAACAATGCGTGACTAAATATGAAGCTTACAAATATGCATCCAATTATAAGTTAGCATATATTTTCGCTTGTAATAAATAAAGATTATTCGATAAACAAATTTTCAGAGGTGGTTTAAAAGCTTGCTGATGGAGGCCTTTTGGGGTGAGCAATGGAGTTATGCTGACGAGAGACAAGTGATCCTGCCTCTTCACCTGACGAGATAAAGCTGGAGCCACGGGAATGTTCACTAGAGGAAGCTGGCTCTCTTCTGGGCTCTTCTCCAGACCTTCTGGCTTGATGCAGAACATTAAAAAAATCTGTCCAAAAACAGTTGGATAACATTGTTCGGCTTCTGCTGGTACAGGAGGGTAGGGATTTCCCTCCACGTTCTATGCTACGAGCTGTAACAGGACTAAATGAATCTGAGCATAATGAATTATAACTTATGTCATTTTCAGTCGCTTATATATGGAGGAATTTGGCGTAGCTTTACGCAAACATGTTTTTAGAGGTGTGTTCTTGCCCAAATCAGGAATACTGGAACGGGAGTTGTCAGAAACGATTTTTTTTGCAGCAAAACGATCCATGTGTGTGATCAAGCAGTAATTTATATATTTTAAACTTTGTTCCCACTGTACGTAGCCAACCGTGCTAATCAGAGTTGTGGGGAAGGACAGCAAAATAAACACAAAAAGCTATTTTAAAGAAATTCGTTTTCAAAATCGAGCAGAGGTGTTTTTTTTAATCAGTATGGTGGTTCCTGTCACGATTTAGGATATATTTCACATGGACTTGATGTAATGTATCAATTTTGCTTTCCTAGCAGCTGATTGGCTGGCATGGCAGTTGTGATGATGTCATAACTAGATATCACCCACTGATACTCCTTGTGTTTCACTAGGCAATGTTGGTTCTGATGCAAATTTGTAATTAGGCCCCTGGTCAACAATGACTGAATGGAAAAAAAACATGCACAAACTTGTTTTTATTAATGTAATTGGAGTGCAAAAATGCAGCCTACAATGGTTTAAAATAGTTTTATGTTTTTCTATACACGAGTTTTATTGCATGTGAAATTGTTACAGATGCTTTCATATTTTAAGGCTACAAAACAATAAGCCATATTGTAATTGTACCTGGAGACAAAAATGAAACCACCAGAATGCTCAAGTTGCCATGTTCACTTGAATATTCACACTAACAACGATTTTCCTCTATTCACACGTGCACATGTGGGATTTTGTATTTGTAGAGTCACCAGAAGAAGCGAACCCAGAGGACCCAGCCGACGAGGAGAGGGAGAATGATGAGAGCATGCAAACAGATGAACTCAACACCACTTCGTCCTCAATTGAGGGAGCGAGTGACACAGCTAGCACATAAATATGAACATCAGCGCACAAGAATGTCCACTTAAAACAGCTTGTTATGGTGTTTGTCTGTTTTACGTGCTAATTTTTCAAAGTCTATAAAGTTAAAACAAAATTTCGAATGCAATATACTATTAAATATATATTTAGGTCCACACGCTTTTATATACCAATTGTCAAGCAGATTGTAAAATAATACAACTTGTAAGAATCTTTCAATTAAAATGACTTTTTTTATTGTATTGCAAACATTTGTTAGAATTTTATATGCATTGCATTTGTGGTTGTACAAAATACAAGGATAATTTATTCTTGCATTGATGTTAGGTTGGGCACTGTTTTGGGCTGTCTGGCATTTGAATACACCAACATTTCCTCGTGTAACATGAAATTACACCACCCTTGTTTTAGGTGTGAGCAATGTGGTTGCCGTAGTCGTTTTGTTTAAAAAAAAATGTTCTTTGTTACGTAAAGCAATTATTTATGGTTTGGTACCTTCCCTTCATCTCTAACTGATGTGCATATGTATTAGTTAAACGCATAAATGCAAATATCTTGAAGGTGTAAGACCTATATGATATTGTGCTTTGCCTTTGTTTCCATATGAAATTCGCCATCAGCCATCATCAATCCACTGCCGATTGAAAGCCTCCCTAAATCTTATTTGCGATGTAAAAATCCACCTACCGCTAAAGCAGCTGATTTAATTGATCCATCCTGGTGAATGCCCTCTTGGACACGTTCCATTCTTTAACATTCTTCTAGAAGCACATTGGTATGGAAGAGGGGTGCAGGGATGTCCTGGAGAGAGTTGGCAGTTAAACAGACTTGGTTCCGGCTGGGGAATGTGACTGGAGGTATAAAAGGATGAGACGAAGGGGAGTTGTGGGCTTCAGATTCTAGTAGGCTCGGATGCGAAGCATGTGTTGTGAGGAAGATAACGCATGGCTAAGTCGTTACGTGGCAGGGTCGTGCCAAACAATTTTTAATAAACTTTTTTGTGATCAACACCTGCTGAATTTGGATATCCTTTTGACTGGGGTGGCACTATACTATGCAGCATTCACGATTCGAACCTCAGCATACTGGATGAAGAAATACGTTCTTTGGGAGCTACCCAGAATTTGTGGTGGACGTGTAAATGACGATTGCACTGACCTATCAGATGACTTGCAAGTCTGCCAAAGGGCAGGTGGCCCTCGGATATGCGCCTCCAACACCTGCTGCAACTGAGTAAGATTTGAAGAAGAAACAGTCTTCCAGAAGAAAGCATTGGGGCTTACAATAAGCTAATGGCCCTGGTGTGCAGGACCTACCCGTGGCTTGAAGGGTATGGAATTTAATCCCTCATAGGTGATTGATGTGTAGGTCTACACCATATGAATTAATGTCCTGCTGCGGACACCACAAGACAAGTGTAGCGTGGGATATTAGGAGTCTAATATACCCCCCCATATTAAATGCACATCAGGGCGTATCTATGAATGGTTAAGACTCGGTACGTAGTGCACGGGCAGTGTAACACCCGCCCATGTGCGTCCCATGGTCTCCCCCATGTCTGGTGGACGATGGTCCTGCGTGCTGGGATGGTGAGGACTTGGAGGCACAGTGTCATACTTCTTGCGTACAGGCACGTATAATTAAGTTACTGGTGGTGTGCATTAGATACACCTATTATGTAGGGATCGGTAGGATAAGGTTAAGAGACTTAGGTTGTTAGGTGGTTTAGTAAACGTGCGTCTTGGACAACCACGTGGCTAAGATGGCGGCCGTAACGTGTTAAAGTTAAGAGCATATTGATTTAATGTATTTCATTTTTAAGAGCAGCGTAGCTACAGACATGATTATTACCAGGACATTTATGCGAGTGTGGTTATGATCAAAAGCACAGATAGTAAAACGTGCTGTAAACAACATCGAATTGATGTGCCGTTTTGAACCACTTTAAAGTGAATTACAGTGCTACCTCGGTATACGTCGTTAATTCGTTTCAAAAGGTAGCACTTATACCGAAAATGATGTATACCAAAGATTTTTTTTTTCCCATGAGAAATAAAGGGAAAGGAAATAATCCGTTCCAGAGTATAAGACATTATATTTTATATGGCATATTATACATTAATGGAGTTGTATAAACAATCTAGACACTCCGTATTACTAAAATGCATACATAAATTACAATAAATGCATAAATAAATGAAAATAAATAGGAAACAAAATTTGCATCACTTTATTTTGCTGAGAGGAGTTTAATGAATTCGCAAAAATTTCACGTTAAAATGAAAAAAATAACACGTGAAAATAACACGTGAGTTATAGCAAGGGTTGTGCACTGAACGAGATCTACTGGACAGGCAGACTGAGGAGCGGCGCTTGTCTCAGTCGTGAACGGGGCCGACGCGGGTCCGTGGTGACTCATCCCGACCCAGACAAGTTCGAGCAAGAGGTCGTACCCCAAGCAAGAGGTCGTATCCCAAGACTTGTTTTCTCGTCAAAACACGATGTATACCAAATTCGACGTATTCCAAAGCGGTTGTATACCGAGGTATGACTGTATAGTGGTTTTACAGCTACAGTATAAGATTATATTCTCATGAATAGATCGGACCAGACCCATAGATGAGTTTTGGAATAATTATATTGTTGCATATAATTTTGAAAATGCCATAGTGTACGTGGTTATTAATTATAATTAATGCGATTATGTTGATAAATAATGCCCGTAATGGCTGGAAATTATTAAGAATTAATGGTTTCATAAGTATGCAGTAACTGTATAAAGCACCATTATAATTAAGAAATTAAACCGTGAGAACATGTATATGATTATTGGCTTGTATTAATTTGCATAATGAGTCAAGAACAATACTGCACATATCACTTTAATATGTTTGCTATACAATGAGTCATGCTACTGCATTGGATCCCGATCATTTAGCTGCAGCTCATGTTAAGAGCTCATCTAATCCACTTGGATGGTCATGATTGCAAGTTTACTATTCTTAGTTAACGTCTTACATGCGTTCATACTGTTTGGAGTTGAGAATGCAACAGAGCCTACCTGGAATACGTCTCCACATTAATCGTTGTGCGCACGCTGACACCCGGGTCCACTGGCAGACTATCATTAAAACAAATGTGCAGCCACCGAACTGGACACAAGCTCTCGATTTCAGAAGTGGTGAAATGGTTCGAGAGAAGCGCACACACTGTTATGGGGAGGCAACACTATTAACACAACGAATAATTACACGACACATAGGGTGGTGACCACCGACCTATTCTCGCTAACTCTGACACTGATAATGACTGGTGTGGCCAAGACAGGAGGGCTACTGCTTGGCCACGCTGACTTAAGGCTTGACTTCACTCTTCATGAGGCATCGTCATCCCGGATCCGAGCAGCCCCGCACCAGGTGCGGAGCCCGCTTATATGCGCCTCGGCGTGGCCAGGCCACACCCAGGCCACGCCCACTTTCGAGAACCCTCGAGAAGGCTCTGCTTCTGGCCATATGGCCTCCAAGGTCCCCCCGGAGCCCCCGGCCCCCACCTTGATTCGGTCACGTGTCCGGTCGGGTTCATACAGAGTGCCACGGCCTCACACAACCCCGTGGCACTGACCGACAGCCTCCCCAACCCGGCCGTGACGTCATTCCCTTATCCACACGTAGTGACGTGTGTATGTGTGTGTACAGACCCACACGGTAGTGACGCTACAAGTCACTACATCACCCCCCCCCCCCCCCCATGTAAAAATACAGCCGTCCCGGCTGTGATTATACGGAAAAAAAAACTGTGTGCCTCCCAAAAAGCAATGTTAATAAATAACCGCCGTCCGTCAATAAATAACACAAGTAACATATTTACACGTGGAAGAACCCCGAGCACCAACACAACAATAATAATAACACCAGCAACAAAAAAATCCGTGATCGGTGAATAAACAACGCCCCAACCTTGGCCCACCCCGCACTCGCAACCTGATGACCTGCAAACGGCAACCCTGTGGGGGAAGAAAATCATGCACACACGTAACAATAAAGACCTGCAGAACAACTCGCTTGTGGGACAAGTTGTTGTTTAAGGCACCTTGAGGTACTCTTTGTCTCAGTCTGGGTCGCTATACAAGTGTAATGAGTCCACCAGACAGAGATAAGGATGATGCACGACTCTATTTTCGCACGACCTCACGCTGTGCATGTCCACTCCAAATCTCACCGAATCCCTCGAGGAAAAGCCACTCTGTCCCTGGGCGTTCCCTCTCTCTCGCCCTGCCTTCTCCTTTCCTTCATGACGTCATTTTAACTTTAACCTGGGATCCCGTGGATATTTCTACCCCTGGATCACGTAAGTATTAGAATTACACAAGCACCAAATGGGTGGCTGAGCATATTGCTTATCTGTAGAGGGCCCAGAACGGCCTGCCAGACCTGTTTGTATTGCCATGGTCTCCCAAGGAGTAACACAGGGTGACTCGGGGAGCACTCTGAGGCTGCATCGAGAGACATCTGGAGACATCATCTTGGTGACAATGACATTAGATGAGCAGGTCATAGTGTGAAATTTTCATACTCAACCACTTTTGAAACTCTTAATGGAACTTTCTGGGTGGCACTATGCTTTGAACAAATAAAAACCTACATTTTCACTTTAACGTTCATAAAAAAAAGATATATTTACACTCAGTGCCACATAACAGCCACTATGTAAAATTATCACAGTAATGTGTGTTATATGTGGTTAATTGTTTTTCAGAATTTGTATTTATGAGCAGAGACCTTTTAGATTTAATGGAACTTAGTGCATTTCCACTGTGAGAATAACATTCAAAGATACAGTAATTGTAATTTTCTTATTTTTCTTATTTTTAATTGCAGATTTTGGTGTGGTGGATCTAATTATCGTGTAGTGGCATAGAATAGTAATGTAGCAATATAGCGCTGGCTGCGGGCAGGGAAGGGGATCTGCGGCTTATGGCAGCCCTGACGTCAGCAGGCCAGGTTATACACCACAGGGGGATCTTGGGGAAAGGTCACAGACGGGGCACACCAAGAACCCGCTGGTAGGTTCTAGAAATGGGCCGTGGCCAGGGGCGGAGCCAGGCCACGCTGACATAAGTGCCCTTGTCGGGGATCTCGGGGCTGTTGATTGTAAGTAGGATCCCCATCATGCTGCTCAAGTCCATCATCGTCGTCGTCACCATTCTATTAGTCGCCACAGACGTCGTCGCTTGATATTGCGTTGTTTAACAGTTGTTGACTGTATTGGTCAGCTCAATTGGTGTTAGACGGCTCGTGTTGTGAAAAGGCTAGGGTGTGTGTAGCCTCGGCGACTGTAGGGTGTGTGAAGGGAGATTGTGAGTATAATAAAAGAAGTGCCTCCAAGAATTACTGCCTCCGAGTTGAACCACTACATTTGGCGTCAGAAGTGCTAAAGTAAAAGAAGAAAATTTGTCATGTCCAAGGCAAAATGGACGCTGACAACATCGTCAGTCAGGCGTCGCTCCGACATCCTCGCACGATATGCCCCGGTTGACCACAGCTGTAGCAGGCGATGGTGGGCTCCTGTCGTGGAGTGGTCACCTCCCCCCTCGGCCCCCATCCTTGAGCCCGTCGTGAAGTCTCCCCCTGGCGTCGTGCCCACCCGTGTATTGTTGCCGCCACTTCCTCCCCCAGCTCTGGATCCTTGGTGTCTCTGCACTCCCCGCTGACCGGGCTGTCGAGGCCTCACCCGACATAGGATCACCAGTCCATGCCACCACACGTGGCCGCCGGTTCATCCCCTCGTGTGCCTGCAGGCATCGGGCCACCCACAGGGAAGTCTGCACCTCCTCCACAATTGGCAGCATGACCCCCATCTCCTGCGCCAATACCAGAATCTTTACCATCACCAGAGATTGCAGCACATCTTATTCAGCCACGGGTATACTACCTGGCCCAGCGCCAACAACGCACTGCGATAAGCGAGGGGCGTTTTGGCCTCCCCCACTTTCGCTGCAAGAACTTCCTCC